GTTCAACACTGTGTACAAAAATAGACGCCGTCTATTGGTTACTTTTTTGTTTATTTTAATCTCGATAATTGCTAAACTTGGCCTCGTTCGGTAGTAGGATAAGAAATTTATATTCGTCTGTCTTCCGCTTTGGGGATGTCATATTTGCATTGAACGTTAGTAATGAACACCCTGCCTGTTTTATTTGTATATACAAGAAAGATTCGGGAAAATGTCACGGTTTTCCTATTTTAATTTTTTTGATGAATCTTAAGTTAATGATTTAATAAGCTCATGGCGAGTTCTATGACAATAAAATATACGTAGAAATTCCCTTATGGAATCGTTATATATTTGAGCTGAACAACTTTAAGAAAATATTGCAATAAAAATCACGAATATGAATGTTCGTCGTTATTTTAAGAAGTGTGTACAAATAAAATATTTTGAAACTGAAACAGACTTTAAACACTTCTTTCTTTGTCTTGGTGAAACCAAGTAGCGTCTTTGACATGCTTTGTTTAACCACGCAATCAAAACGGGATAGTCTATTATTTATTAAGTATTGGCAGGAGACGTTAAACACTTTTCACTTCCCTTCTTTTTTTTTTTTTGTTTTTTCTTTCGTTTTCTCGGTGAAACCAAGTAGCGTCTTTGACATGCTTTGTTTTACTACGCAATCAAAACTGGATAATCTATTATTTATTAAGTATTGGCAGGTGACATTAAACACTTTTCATTTCCCTTTTTTCTTTCTTTCTTTCTTTCTTTCTTTTTTTTCTTTCTTGCTGTCGTTTCTCCTTATTTACTTTTTCTCACTGAAACCAAATAATGTATTTCCCCCCCCCTCTTTCCACGTGATCAAAATGAAATAGTCCATTACTTATGAGATACTGACAAGACACAACGGTCGTGCAAACTAACAAAGTGGGGGGGAGGCACAAGCACAATTATAACAGGATATTTTTCACCGGCGCCGAAATGGAAACCATATGTACGGAAATCAACACATACATATATATTTACTAGCATTGCCCGCGGAAATTTCACGCTGTTCGAATTTGAATTTTTTAAAAGTATCATAATTCTGAATTTAATGATTGAATAAACTCTTTGTAAATTCAGCGACTATAAAATAGCCGTAGAAATTCCCCTATCGCATCGTAATTGTGCTCAGCCTTTTGGCTAAGATCAAAGTGTAGTATCTGTTCTTATCAGCTTAATCTGATTCTCTCTCTCTCTCTCTCTCTCTCTCTCTCTCTCTCTCTCTCACTGTATAAATTCTAGCTTCTCTTCTTTCTTTCTGAAATAGCATAAAAGGAAGACACAGAGAAAGACCGGTGAAAATAGTTCTGGTTCTCTAATTTTAATATTCCGATGAATCTTAATTCATAAGCTAATGATTGAATAAGCTCATGGCGGATTCTATGACAATAAAATATCCGTAGAACATTCCCCTATCACATCGTTAAATATTTAAGCTTAACAACTTTAATAAAATAATGCAAATAAAATCTGAAAGCTGGTCGTTATTTATAGAAGTAAGATGGTACAAATGAAAAGATTCAAATTAGATAAGGTTTTCCATTTCACTGAAGCAGACGTTAAACGCATGAGAGCGTTGCCGCCTCTGCTATCTTCCATTTCTTTATTGCTATTCATTTTTCTTTGTTTCTTTCTTGTTATATTTGCTTTCTTTTTATCACTAAAATCAAACAGTTTCATCTAGTCACGCCATTACAACATTTTAATGGATTCCATGGTAAATTTACGTCCAGGATCACGCAGCATATTGGCTTTCTTAACTAT